TGCTCGGTATCATGCAAAAACGACCGCATGATGGTGTCGCGTCATCGTTGAGAACGTAACTACAGAGAAAAGAAATAGTCTTAAATCAACGATGGACATCCTCATATGCAAATAAAAATATTGTGATATTCCTAGGCGATCTTCAGCCTTGAATTGAGTGTAAGTAATACCTGCATCAATACAAGTTCAATTAAATCAGGACTAAAAATCTCCTAAAAAGATTGTAATATTTTTATGGTTGATTTAAGGCTAATTTTTTTCCGTGTACAGTTTTAAAGGTTCGGAAGAAGAACTTTCCTCGAATTTTCTACAATTATTTTCGGTTTCTTTCCGCGGAACAATTGCGAGAAAGAAAAACAGCCTTTTCAAAACCATAGTGCCGTAACATCGGCGTATCTGCGATTTTTAGCGTGTGTCGAGGACCGCTGAAAGTGGCGTATTTCCGAAGATTCCGCGGCGATCGAACGTTTGAACGTTTATTTTATCCTTGTGATTTTGTTCACCGTGATCCGCCGACTCGTTTCGCCAAGTGTTTTCGCAGTGTCGACGTTTCGACGCGCGGGCAACCGTTATTTTTCTACGGTATTTGTGATAAACGCTTCTTATTTGGAGAAATCGACGTACGTCAAGGAGCAAGAGGAAGGAAGAGGAAGAGAGCCGGGGAAAATCAACCGAATGATCTCGTGTGTTGATCCCCGTGTGTTGAACACGCGCACCCATGAAAACAGGTACGGTCGACGTCACGTATTATACTGTACTATTCTCCCAGACGGAAAATTGCACGATTCTCAGCTTTACATGCAACCCAAGGTTGAGTAAGATTCAAGACCGTACAAGTAACTCTAATTATAATGTGTATGTGCTATATGTGATAGAGTTATAATAAGAATAAAATAAATTATAATAAGAAAGTAAATAACAATAATATTGTAAATATTATTATTAATATTATTATTAATATTATTATATTGGCTCTAATTATATAACGGTTTTCATCTTATGTGTACAGAAAACTCCATTAAGATTGCTTTATTCGTAGGCATAATAACACTGAACATTTCCAACTATATACGTTATTCTTGCATATTTCAGCATCATGATCGTTACTTTGGAGAATCATTGCCGATTCATTAAATTATCAACAGTCATGTTGTGTACGATAAATAAATAATGCTTCTGATTGGATATTTTCGATGTCACTGTTAAGCGATGCCTAGGCAATGGGACAGTATTAATGGAGTCTTCTGTGCATGCGTAAAATTGTAAATTGTGCAATTTTCCATCTATAGAATGTATATAGCATATATGACGCCCACTGTACCCGAAAGTGGTTGTCGCAACGTTGACGCACTTTCTGATGCGTACTGAGAAACTATTGATCTATTGTTTCTAGCTGAGCTGGCTGCACTGGTTCGAGAAATTTCGATCCATATTGAAGCGTGTCAAGCGTACGCACGAGATTCTCACGCTTCAGTGTGCGTAAATTTCTTCAACTAATGCAGCCAGTTCAGCTAAAAAGAAGATAAAAAAACAAACCATACCATATCAATTCATCTGCGCCGCGAATCCGAAGTCGCAATGGTTATTGCGGAATAATTGTGCCGGTTATAGCGTGATAAATGACGTGGGATCATGACGCCGCAAAGCGATATCCAATAAATTACATGCTCGTCAGCGAGCAGTTAATTAATTGGCCCCGTGAATTGGTAATGAGAGACGCGCGCTCGCGCACTCCGATTAGTCCTGCAATTAATTGAAGGTGGAGAAGAGCGTTATACCGTTAATGGCGGAATTAATCAAAAAAAAGAGGAGGAAAAAGAAGGAAAGAAACGCAAAGCGCTCTTTTCGCACTTTCGTCGCGCGGTCGGTCTAATGATAATTGTTTTCATTATTTTAATTTCTTAGCGAATTAATCCCCCCCCC